CCATGGAATTCGTCTAAGAATGTACAGCAATAAATCTGGGATTAGACTTTGAGTCTCCCAACACATTCACTCATTCACTCATTCATGTAACAAATATGTATCTGGCACCTAACAAATGCCAGGTTCAGTGCCTTTTTCTTGGCACATCAGGCCTGCAAATAATCCCACATGCCAATTTCGAAGCCTTTTCCATGTCCCATTATGACCTCCTCCAACTCCCCAGGAGACATCTCTGCCTCACCAGTTGCACCCTTGGCACAGCGCCTGTGCCAACCCCCTTCCCCAGAAATTGAGGACAACTCCATTGCCAGGAACTTCCAGCTCACACTGGTATGTGCAGCCGTGTGCAGAGTTGATCACATGCGTGTGCTGAGAGCTCTGCATTTCACCCTCCCTCAGCAGGGTCCACTTTGGTCCCTGCACTCGGAACCTTGCCAGTTCAGACTGAAGCCAAGTGTTAACCCCTTCAACCAGACAGGAGTCCTGGGGTGAGAGGGGAGCTCATCATGGCATCCGGGACCTCTGGGCCAGGAGCAGAGCTCTGAGCTCCTGTGCAGACTGGGGAATGTGTGCAAGAAGAGGCCATTGCAGGCTGCCTGGGGGATGGATATTTGCAGGCCAGATGAGCAGGCAGCAATCCACCCTACCATTAGCCCCTCCCAACATGGCCCAAGGCAGGGCAGAGCAGAGGCCGCCATCTTGGAGAGAGAGGGAGCCTCCTGTTCAGGGGCAGGAGGCCAGCCTGGGGGCAAGCCATGGCCATTCCCTGGGCCCTTTCCACAGTCTTCCTGATGGGCGTGACCTCACTGAAGATGTGGGACAACTCGGGATTTATTGTAGGGGCCAACATGAGGTTCAGCTGCTCCCGAGAGGAAATCTTCTGAGATCAAAGCAATGAACCAAAGAGGAAAAGAAGAATGTGGAAGAGCAACAGAACCAAAAGCTGTGTCTAGCACAAAATGCACATGAGACAGCCTCCTCATAAAACGGATCAGGACACAAGAGAAAGGATGAAATACAATAAAATACAGAGTCAAAGAGGAGGACATGGAATTAACGGGGATTAAAAGCAATTTAAAACTATTGCAAACGGTTACATGCTTATAAATTTGAAAGCTTAGGGAAAAGGAAGAAATGTATATAGAAAGTTATAAAATGACAAAAGATTGGCCCAGAAAGAAATAGAGAATTTAACTAGGTCAATCAGTATTATTAAAACTGAAATGGTAGTCAAGCCCTCCCACCCCCCAAAATCAGACCCAGACGCTCTCATAGTTGAGTTCTGCTAAATTTTTAAGAAACAGTTAATGGCTATCTCATAGAAGCAAGTAAAAAAAAAAAAAAATGATGCCACCCTCGCTTATTTTATGAGACAAGAGTCATCATGGTTGCAAAACCTGGATAAGACAACATACTAAAAGGAAATTATAAACCCATCCTGTGTTTCTACTTAGGAATACAGGATGGCAAAACATTAAACCAAATATTAACCAACCGAACAGTGCTCACATATTGACACTGTCTCACCATCAGGGTCTATCTCAGAAATGCATCAACGTCAGAAAATCCACCAGCATAATTCATTACATCATGACATCAAAGGAAAAACACCAACTGAAAAAGCACTTGCTAAGATAGTTACATATTTATGATTTTTTTAAAATCCTGAACAAACTAGGAACGTAAGAAAGTTCCCTAATTTCGTTGAGATTTAAGATTAAAAACTAAAACAAAAATAGAAAACCATTCAGCCCAGCCGGTGTGGCTCAGTTTGAGCATGGACCTATGAACCAGGAGGTCACCGTGCGATTCTCGGTCAGGGCACCAGTGGAAGAATGTGGGAGAGCAATAGAACCAAACGTTGCGGGCTTAAGCCCTGGGGTTCCCCAGGCCAGACCTCCTCCATGGTCATCTTGTCGGCCTGGGACATGAGCAGCCGCTTGATGCTGAGGACAAGGAGGGAGGCACCGGGTTAGGCTGCTCTGGAGAGAGGGCCAGCTCTGGCCAGTGTGGCTCACGGACAGAGAGCCAGCCTACGGACAGAAGGGCCCTGGTTCCACCCCGGCCGAGGGCACTTGCCGGGGTTGTGGGCTCGATTCCCGCGCGGGAGGCAGCCCATCAGTAATTCCCTCCTATCACGGATGTTTCTATCTCGCCCTCCCTTTCCTTTCCTCTCTGAAGCCAATAAAAATATGTTTTTAAAAAATAAAAATAAAATAAAATAAAAGTTGCATGCTTGATCCCTAGTGCAGGAGGCAGCCGATCAATGATTCTCTCTCATTGATGTTCTCTCTCCCATTCGCCCTTCCTCTCTGAAATCAATAAAAAATATATATTGAAAAAAAGAAAAGAAAAAAAGAATGTGAGAGGTGTGTCTGCACAGCTGCGGGCATTGCTGTCGGAAGAACATCAGGGTTCAGTTGTGGAGGAAGGAGGGGAGAAGGATATTGTATTGGGCACCCATCAGGCTCGGCCACAGATCCCGATTTCCAAAGGAGGACAGTGAGGCCCAGAGAGGAGAGGAAACTCACGCCGGCCATCAAGCACATGAGGGGCAGACTTAGGGTTTTCACCTGAATGAGTCTTGATCTTCCCACGTGTGGTACAGGTGTCCCCTCTCAACTGCACGTCCAGCCACGGGAGCACTGACCCTGCTCACTCCCAGCCCTGCTTGGGTTCGGGTCTGCTTTGGGTTTCTCTGTCCCCGCCTAGTGTCACCCCTGGGAGCTCCCTAGCGCCGGGCAGCTTATGCCCGGCCTCTCCAGCACCCATCACAGGGCGTGGCGAGCTGTGAGGTGCAAGGAGCAGGACAAACTGCGTGGCTGGAACCGACTTCATCCTTTCAATGTCATCCACTTTCTCATGGCTTTTATGCTGTGCCCTGACCTAGGCGCGTCTCACGAGTTTCACTTTTCAGATGCATTTTCTAATTTTTAAAAAATATATTTTATTGATTTATTTTTTTTTTACAGAGAGGAAGACAGAGGGATAGTTGGAAACACTGATGAGAGGGAAACATTAATCAACTGCTTCTCGCACTCCCCCTCCCCCACTGGGGATGTGCCTGCAACCAAGGTACATGCCCTTGACCGGAATCGAACCCAGGACCTTTCAGTCCGCAGGCCAACGCTCTGTCCACTGAGCCAAACCGGTTTCGGCCAGCATTTCCTAGCTCTGAACGCGCTCTGCCTGGCTCAGGTCTGATAGAACATGTAGGCCACCTCCACACAGAACAAGGCAGAGAAGCTCAACTATGTGCCTCAGATCCCGAGATGCCTGTGGCAAAGAATATGCCACATGTCCCTCGCTCGGGTTCCTCTTCCAAGTGCCACAGAGAGACGACATTTTCTAGCCCTCTTTGCCGTTAAGTTGAGGACATGTGACTGCTTCTGCCCAATAAAATATAAGCCTAAGGGATGAACTCCCTTCTGGTCTGAGGTGGCCAAAGGCCCGTGTGTTTTCTCCACCCTTCCTCTCAAGGTGACCTTGAAGACCCTGGTGGAGACCAGTGATTCACAAACTGTAATATGCATACCAGTCTCTTGGGGGTCTTATTAAAATGAAGGTTCTGAATCTTTTCAAACAAGCAACCAGGCGGTGCATGCTTTGGAGCAGACATCTGAGTAGGGAAGACTGCAGGGGGCGGGGGGCGGGTGGGAAGAGGGGACGCGGGTCCAAGACAGAGAGGACCTGCCCAACTTCATTGCACCATTCGTGAACAGAAGGAAACCTCCGTTGGGTTAAACCAGTGGTCAGCAAACTCATTAGTCAATAGAGCCAAATATCAACAGATTGAAATTTCTTTTGAGAGCGGAAAACCAACTTCTGCACATGGGCCACAAAGTTTCAATTGTACATGCGCGTCCACACATGGTATTTTGTGGAAGAGCCACACTCAAGGGGCCAAAGAGCCGCATATGGCTCCTGAGCCACAGTTTGCCGACCACTGGGTTAAACCCCTGAGACTTGGGGGTTTATCTGTGACCTAAGCATAGCCTAATGTACTTCAGTGACTACGTTAGTCTAGGAAATTGTTATTTAGTCATTCAACCAATATTTATTGAGTTCCTACCATGCACTCATTCTGTGCCCTGGACATCTTACTCTTAAGAAAGCACTAACTCTCAGGATCATGCAAGTGCAAGGTCGGCATCTGAAAGTGAGAGCGCCTGGCACTTAGCTCCCTGGGTGCCCCTGTGTCCCTCCCAGGCCCAGTGCTGTAAGTCAGTGGTGGAGCCAGGGTTTGAAGCCGGAACCTTTGACTTGAGTCTGAGTTTGTTTCCACCAATGCAAAGGGCAGCTGTGCTCATTCCAGGGTCTTACTGGGGGACAGTAGCAGCAGCCAAAAGATTGATGGGTTCCCGGGACTGTCACATCCCTCTGGTGCCAAACTTGTCAGCTGGGGGGCCTGCACCACAGGCAAGCAGTCAGCAAAGAGACAGTTCTGGCTGTGGTCCTGCGGCATTTCACACCGATAGCCACGGGCTTCCTGAATGGCCACGTGAATCAAATCTTGACCTCATGGTTCGTAGGTCGACGCTCAACCACTGAGCCTTGCTGGCCAGGTGTCTGACCCCATCTTTCCTTGGCTCTCTGAAAAGTCACCTTCTTCAGAAAGCTGTCCTTCACCCTCACTTCGTCCTCAGTGTGCACAGAAGTTCCACCTGTTTTCTCACCGTCATCTCCTGCGCTGGGCTTTGACCCAAAGTCTGTATTGTGTATCCAGTCCCTGTAGAGGGGCCCTCAGAGATGGCTGAGCTACATGAAACAGATTCGGTTCTTCCAGATCAGCTGGTAGTGCCCAGCAAGCGCAGGCACGCAATAGGTCCAGCCTGTGTGGGCTCATCCACCGTGGCCGCCTGCCAGAGCCTGGGAAGCAGGCCCTGGGGTGGCCCCTTGTTGCCAAAAGCAAACAGGCCGCCAGGGAAGTTTTGCTCTGGGTCACACCCGCCTCTGGGTGGCTGGCTGCCAATCCTCCTGCCAGAAACCGCAGGCCCTCCGCAGCCGCCCAGAGCAGGCCACAGGGCTTTGGAGGATTTGGGTCAGCTCTGCTAAGGGGGTGTCTGCCCAGCGCTTCCTGGATCCACAGCCCCCCGGGGTTGGGCAGGGGGTCTGGACAGGACGGCAGCAGCTACAGCCAAGGCTTGGGAAGGCCCTTGTGGGCTGGGAGGAGCTACAGAGGCCCCTGCCAGCCTGTCACAGGCTCTCAGTGCTGACATTGGCTCTGGCTTTCACACACACACACACACACACACACGCACACACACACACACACTGGCAGGCACCCCCTTGGTGGCCTCCTTCAGGTAAATCGGCTCATCAGTGGGAGGCTGAGGATGGGGAGAGAACAAGGAATGCAAAGACTCATGTGCATGTAAATGTGCGTGTGCGTGTGTGTGTGTGTGTGTGTGTGCGCACGCGCGCGCGCGTGCATGTGTTTGTGTGTGTGTCTGGGAGTGACCTCACAGCCTCCGGAACATAAAGACTTGCAGGTCCTGCCTCCCAGGCTCAAAGCGGGCTCCGTGGGGGACACAGTGACATGAGAGGCCCACCACAGACCCGCCTCCTGCCCTTCTCCTTCCTCTGCCTCCTCTCAAAGGTAAGGGGGCCCGGCCCCGAATGCTGCTGGCTTCCACGCTGCTGGGGGAGGTGTGGCATCGCTGCCAAGGAGCCCTGCGGGGCCAGTGCTGGGCGCAGCCAGGTTTCCCTCCTGGGTGCCCAGACAGCTCCTCTGGCCAGCCCTGTGTGCCCACAGGCAAGTCCCTTCTCTCGGAGCCTCAGCTGCTCCCTCGCTGGAATGGGCACAGTGTCCACGAGGTCTTTGTGAGGATCCTTTCTGAGAATTCACCTGAAGTCCCTGCGCAGGGCCTGGAGCACGGCAGGGTTCAGAAGGACGTCTCTGATTCTCACCACTCCCAGCTGCCCTTCCACAGCGCAGTGGAGTCCTCCCCGCAAAGGAGGCTCGGGAGATGGCCCGCTTTGCCTGACAACGAGCCAGGATTTTAATGGAGGCTGGTGTCTGCCTCCTTGGGAAGGTCATTCTGCAAGGGCCCTCAGGCAGTGAGTGACCCCTGACCCTGGGTAGAGGGGACAAGGAGATACCTCCATAAAATAATGCCTTCCCTTCTGGGACGCTCTCCAAAGAGCTTGTGGAACGTCTACTTGCCCAACAACCCTATCAGGAGCTATTAGCCTGTTTTCAGTCAAGCAAGGCTCAGAGAGGGTAAGCAAGTTACCCAAAGCCACACAGTAAAGCAACAACAGCGCCATAGAGTAGGCGGAGCCCAGGTAGGCCTGGGTGTGTGGGGATGGGGCTGGGGACTTCAGTTTCTACCTGTCCACCTCCATCCTGGACCCCAGTTCCCGGGCCCTGTCATCCCTTCAGCAAATGCTGTGCCCAGTCCCATGGGGATGGGCCCCACCCCAAGCCACGATCTCACTGTATTTTCATGCTTCTTTGAGGAGCTTGGCAGGAGTTTCTCCCTCCCGCTCCCACGCTGAGGTGCGGGGAAGGCTGAGAGCCCTGCTGGCTCTCCATCCTGCGGCTGGTTCTGCCGAAGGGGTGGGTGGCTGGGTGGTCGGAGCAGGGACTTGGGGGTTGGGGACCAGGATGAAAGGAAAGACCAACATTAAGCCGCCCCCGACTTGCTGTGCACCCCTTCATTCTCCCCAGGTCCCAGGGGGCCAGGCAGCATCTGACACAGAACATAGGGGCTTTGTCATCACGGACGTGAAAAGCCACCACAATCCTCAGAGAGAGTGCCTGTCCTCCAGGCAGGTGGCTCCTGGGCAGAGGTCTGGGGCAGAGACCTAGAAACAAGCAGAGCCACGCTGGCCGGGAGCTGGCCGGGACCTCACTCAGTCCCTGTCACTCCTCCAGGGTGGGTGGCTCCACCCCATTTTCCTGAGGAGGGAACGGCCCCCTCCCCACAGAGCAGTTACGTGAAGTGCTCAGTCACACAGCAAGCCAGTGCCTAAGCTAACACTCAGACTTCCACTCCTGCCCAGAAGATTCCACGTCCAGGGCTCTTCCCACAGAGCCGTGCCCCCTGGAGAGCACAGCAAGGGGCTGGGGAAACCCAGGGAGCAATGGGGCAACTTGAACAGAGGGGTGAAGTGGTTAGGATGGGTGCAAAGATAGAGGAAGACCAGAGAGGGCCATGCGGAAGCACCCTCCCTGCCTTGTCATTATTCCCCTTGAAGAAATGGGTAAACTGAGGCAGGGGCTAACCTGGCATCAGAGCCCCAGAGAACAAGGGGGGAGCGTGGCCGTTAAGAGCCTGGGCCTTGGATTCCCAGGGACCTGGGTTCCAATCCTGGCTCTGCCTCTTACAGGCGATGTCTCTACTTTGCCTTGGGCTTTAGCTTCCCCGTCTTGGAAAAGGGCTGCCTCTCACGGGAGGGTTAGATTAGTGCGTGAAAGGGCTTCGCCCAGGGTAAGTACTTGCCATAATCACTGACAACATCAGTAGCCTCTCCTGGGTATCGCGACCTATAGTCCAGCCCCTGCCAAGCTTACGGGGTAGAAAGAGCCCCAAATGGGAAGCCAGGTGCAAAGCAGGACTGCTTCCAGGTGGGAGGGACCCGAGAGCCGGTGCTGGGCAGGGTTCCCCACTTTCCTCAGGCAGCTGCAGGCACACAGCTGCACGCCTGCACCCGTTAACAGAGCCCTCGTTAACAGAGCCAGAAGCTGGGGGGGCCTGTGTGGGGCACCCCCTCATGGCCAGGGTGGGAACTGCAAGCCACTGAAAGCATGTGTCTCAGCTAGGGATGGGACAAGTGGGCACCAGAGTAAATGGGTCATGGCCTGCTTTGGGGCCACATAGAAGCTATGAGGCACATGTGTCAAACACAAGGCCCGCGGGCCAAATCCGTCCCGCCAGGCCTTGCAATGTGGCCCGCACCGCGCTGTCATCACTGCACTCTGCTACGTTTCCATCACAATGACAGTTTATGACTGTTCAGTAAACCATTCGGCCCGCGATTTAGGCTGGATTTTAGATTTTGGCCCCTTCTCTGATTGAGTTCGACACCCCTACTATGAGGGCATTGATTTCATCTTCCTGAACGGCAAGTCTTCTATCCACTCCATAAACCTCCAGGGCCCGAGGATCCTACTAAAGATCAGTCCTCCAGAGATGGGAATATCTTGCATTACGCCTACCTCCTGCTCCCCACCTTCAACTGGACACACAGGGAGCCCGCAGCACGTGGTTTGGGTGTTTCCCTGTCCTGAGTGGGGAGGGAGGGGCAGTTAGGACATTTGAGTTGATACCTTGACCCTGCCCCAGGGTCCCTGGCTCAGACTTCCCCCTATTCCAGTATTACAGGACAGATCCACCCCCTCCCTGGGTCCTGGGCCTCAGTGCGGAAGCAAAAGCCCAGCTCTGCAGCTAACACACTGTGACTTCTGACAAGGCCCTTCCCTTCTCTGATGCTCAGGTGCCCCATCTGGGCATGGCAGGGGGGAGGGGAGAGACAGGAGCAGGGGTGCCAAGGACTTGCTGGGCATCAGAAGCCCCTGTTAAAACTCAGACCTAGGGCCCTGCTTCCAGAAGCTCTGGCTTGGTAAGTGCCAGAGGAGGCCTCGGGGTCAGTGATTTACCAAGTTTCCTAGTTGATTTGATGCTTGTCCGGGAGCATAATTGGAATTGTTCTAAAGATAAAAAAAAAAAAAAAAAAAAAAAAAAAAAAAAAACTTCCATGAGACTATTGGAGTCATTCAACTCTCGAGATAAGTACCTAAGGTCCACCTGCTGGAAGTTATAGGACCCGTGGTTGCAATCCCTCATCTTGCTGCTTCTGCCTTTCTGTATTCATAGCGGGCGGAGTCTGCGCCCTTTATTGTAATTCCAATGAGGAGCATCAGCTACATGCATGGAGCCTCTGCTGCACTCCAGACCTGAGCTAAGGGTTTAACATGTATCATTCCATGTACTCCTCAGAGCAGCCTCTGGGTTAGATACTGCTGTTCCACTCCCTACTTTTTTTTTTTTTATATTAATATATATTTTATTGAAGGAAGGGAGAGGGATAAAGAGTTAGAAACATTGATGAGAGAAACATCGATCAGCTGCCTTCCACACACTCCCTACTGGGGATGTGCCTGCAACCAAGGTACATGCCCTTGACCGGAATCAAACCTGGGACCTGTCAGTCCCCAGGACGATGCTCTATCCACTGAGCCAAACCAGTTTTGGCTGTTCCCCCCTTTTTTACAGATGAGGACACTAAGGCTCAGAGAGCTTAAGTAACTTGCTTAAGTTCGTTCAACTAATAAGGGGCAGAGCTGGGACTAGAACTCTAGTCCAGAGTCCATGCTCATGACCGCAATGAGTACCATGGGAGGGCCAGGGTTCAAGAGCAGGTCTGTGTGATTCTGGGGCCAACGTGTGGACCCCACAGGGCCCCGCCTGGCAGAGAGGTAGTCAATTGCGAGGGCCTCACTGCCCACCTTGGACGACCACGGCTGAGTGGGGTTTCTGTCTCTGCAGGTGTGTGCCCAGCTGTGCCCAACACCGTGTGCCTGCCCCTGGCCGCCACCCCGATGCCCACTGGGGGTGCCCCTGGTGCTGGACGGCTGCAACTGCTGCCGGGTGTGTGCACGGAGGCTCGGGGAGCCCTGCGACCACCTCCACGTCTGTGACTCCAGCCAGGGCCTGGCGTGCCAGCTCGGGGCGGGCCCCGGAGGCCACGGGGCCGTGTGCCTCTGTAAGCAGGTTTGCGGAACCGATGGAGGGTGTGGTTGGAGGGGAGGAGGGGGGTCAAGGCCATGTGTCCTCGGTCAAGGGAAGGCTTTCTCTCTCTACCTTTTACCTTCACTTCAGACCCATCATGCTCTTGCATTTACTATGACCATGCAAACACCTGAACAGCCTTCCTCCACTCCTACCTGCCTAAACCATAGCCGTGACCTCCTCTGAGAAGCGCTCCAATATTCTTCTAACCAGAAGGCATCATCCCCTCCTCAGGATCCTCAAATACTTTTGGGAAAATAAAAGTGCAACAACCCCTTATTTAGGGCATAATATATGTCAGGCACTTTGCTAAGCACGTACTACATAAATTACAATAATCCTGTGAGGTAAGTACTGTCAGACCCGTTTTATAGATGAGGTAACTGAGGTTCGTCGATAGTAACGGACATGCTTAATTTCGCACAGCTTGGGATCTGTTCCAACAGCCTCGAAAGCAACGTCTGTCTCTCTTCCTCCGGGATCCGGAGCCCAGAGTTTGCATTTGGCAGTGGCCCTGATCTTCTACCTTCCACACTCTTCCGGGCCCCTGATGCTTTAGATGGGGTTCGCAGCTCCTTGCTACAGACATTTGGGACCAGATTATTCTTGCTGTGGGGCTGTCCTGTGCTTGGTAGGACATTCGGCAGTGTCCCAGGTCTCTGCCACTAGATGCCAGTGGCACCCTCACCCCCAAGTTATGACAACCTGTCTTCAGACATTGCTGAATGTCCCCCAGGAGAAAATCATTTCCAGCTGAGAACTCGCTGCTTTAGAGAAATAGAAAGAAACAAGGAACTGTTCGTTCGTTCCTTCCTTCCTTCCTTCCTTCCTTCCTTCCTTCCTTCCTTTCTTCCTTCCTTCTTTCCTTCCTTTCTTCCTTTTTTCCCTCATTCTCCCCCCAGCCCCCTTGCTCTAATAAGCCTTGTAGAAAATGGATCTCTTTCACCTATGTGCATGTCACATTTCCATAAAAATAAGAACAAGAGAGAGAGAGGCGCCCATGAGTCCATCTATAGGAAAAACCCTGCTAACAAGCAAAACAACACTTGGAGACAGAAAGTTATCCTTAGTAAATCCTTGTTACTTTATTGGATCAGAGGAGTATAACAATAAGAAAGGGGTGATTTGTAGATAAACTCATAGATGATTGCTAATCTAAAAAGTGCCTAAAGAAAGGAGACAAGCAGCCTAGCCCATAAGGCTGATGTTTAGTTAGCATGGCGCTTGTCGGAGTTTATGTATTGCATAGCACGTAGTGTGTGCCAGCCACTAGGGGGTTCACAAACATCACCTCATTTGATCTTCTGGCAGCCATACGATGTAGGTGCAGATGCTATCCTTATTGTATAAATGGAAAAAGGAGGCACAGAGGGGTGAAGCAACTTGCCCAGAGTAACATAGCTCCTAAGAGGCTGAGCTGGGATTTGAACCCAGGATGCTGGCTCCACAACTTTGTTTCCATTGCTCTACTGCTTGACGCTCAACATATGCTTGGTACCTAGTGGCTGCTATTGCCAATAACTTCATTCAGGGGCCTTTTCTTTCTCTTTTCCATCTTGGTTCAGACTCAAACATCTGGAGGCCAAGGATTTACTTGGTCCTTGTTCCTTCCTGCAACTCCCAGACCCAATCTGACAACATGGTGGATGCTCATGTTTAATATGAACTGAATTTGGAAGCTGGGAGCTGGTGAACCCCACAGGGTGGGCCAGAGCCAGCTAAGATGTCACAGGGGCAGAACTAGTTCTTGGGGGACACCAAGCCCCTGGCTTCCCATACCCCCAAGTGCAGCTTCTGCAGCTCAGTGGGGGTACCTAGTGCTGTTGGGACCATGCCTGAGTGCACCAGGCTGGGGAGTGGCTGCCCAGGCGTCAGTCCCCCAACCCTCCCACAGCCCGCTCTGAGCTGACGACCCAGGAGAGGGGCCAGGAAACCTTGCTAAAATTATCGCCCCTCCAGCTGACTTTCCTAAACAGTCCCTCTGTTTACAGCTTATCTCAGCAACCAAGAGGCCAGGGGCTGTGGCACCAGGGCCGGGAGGCCAGGCTCGGCCAGGCTGGGGAGAGGGATTAAGGTATACCCCTGGCTCCTGCTGCAGTTTTTAGGAAACCAGTGGCCACAGGGTCCAGGCCAAAAGGTTGGGATTGAAGCGAAAGGGCTGTGGCCTGGAAGGAGGAAGGAGGGAGCACTGACACAAGTCCTGCTCCCCCCGAGGAAGAAACGTATTTATTGAGCAGCTGCTATGTCCTGAGCTTGGGGCAAAAGGCTTTGAGGTGGCTGGCTCATTCAATCCTCCCGTGGCCCGGTGCCACGGCTCAGAGAGGTGCAATACTTGCCTTCAGCTTGCAAGTGGGGATCTGGGGTTTGAACCCAAGCCTATATGGTTCCCAACTTCCTGCACGTGTACGGACTGTTTGAGGTTTTTCTCTGAAGACCTAGGAAAACCTGCTTCCCTTCCCAGCCCCCACTGAACTGCCACCATGTCTCGAGGAAGTTTCCCGATGGTTCCTTCCTTTGCCCTCCCCCCGCGGCTTGCGCACCTCTCCAGGGCAGTTGATTGTATATCTTGGAGATGATGACCTTCACATCTGTCTCCCCTACTGGCCCCCGAGTCTCCCCAGGCAAGGACTGAGTCTCAGTCCTGTCTAGGAGCACAGCGGTTGGCACACAGACAGGGCGCAATATACGTCTCAGGAATTATAAGGAGTCAGAACTACGTTATCAGTGTCTCTTACATGCTGGGCCCGGTGCCAGGCATCCATTCAAAGGAGGCGGAGTGTCCCATTCATGCTGGGAGCCGGCACGGGGAATGCCAGGATGGACACTCTCAGGCCCAGCCTTCAGGAGGCCGTGTCCAGCAGAGGAGGTGGTATGGATGCCCATGACTTGAGGGCTTCATTCGAAGAGTGTTTCCTGAGCACCTGCTATATGCCTGGCCCTCTGCTACATGCCATGCACCAATTATCTCATGTAACTGAAGGGGGAGGTTGCTGTTCTCATCATCGCTCCTGTTCAGGTGGCTCAGAGAAGTGCAGTGGCTCGCCTGAAGTCACACAGCCAGCCCTGACCTGACAGTGATGACTGCGCAGGCAGACGGACAATGGACGCTTGCTGCCTGAACTCTCAGCGTGCACATCCCGGTTACCCATTAGTGATCTATCACAATTAAGCTGATAACTACAACAGAGCAGACGTCTCCCTTCGGGTGTAGTCATTACATACATCAAGCTGTTTAGTCTATACCACGACCCTGTGAGATACAGGGTGGGCACAAGTAGGTTTACAGTTGTATGTGAAACAGAGTTTATTCTTGTGTCATTATTTTTTTAATTTATTTATTTATTTATTTATTTATTTATTTATTTATTTATTTTTACAGAGAGGAAGGGAGAGGGATAGAGAGTTAGAAACATCTATGAGAGAGAAACATCCATCAGCTGCCTCCTGCACACCCTCCACTGGGGATGTGCCTGCAACCAAGGTGCATGCCCTTGACCGGAATCGAACCTGGGACCTTTCAGTCCACAGGCCGACGCTCTATCTACTGAGCCAAACCAGTTTTGGCTTGTGTCATTATTTATTAATTATTGTTTTTGCTTACATTACAACTGTAAACCTACTTTTTCCCACCCCTGCAAGTAACCCATTTTGCAGGAGAGGAAACTGAGGCAAGAAGAAGGGAAATCACTTGGCCAAGGTCCACAGCTAATAAAGGGGCTCAGACCAGGCAGATCCTCTCGCCAACCCCGTAGGAGGTCACGCTGACTTCCTGCAGGTGCCAGGGCAGCCGGCCATGGGAGGGGTGCATGTGGCAGGGCTGCAGCCCCCTGGCAGTGCTCGGATGCCCCGAGGGCACAGCCCCCCAGTGGGACAGAGCCAGTGGAGGAAGTGGCCGGCCCAGCCTTGTCCGGGGCAGGTGCGGGTCACCGACGGGGCCCTCTCTCTCCTCCGCAGGGGGAGAGGACGACGGGGGCTGCGAGGTGAACGGCCGCTGGTTCCGGGACGGGGAGACCTTCCAGCCGCACTGCAGGGTCCACTGCCGCTGCGAGGACGGCGGCTTCACCTGCGTGCCCCTGTGCAGTGAGGACGTCCGGCTGCCCAGCTGGGACTGCCCGCACCCCCGGCGGGTGGAGGTGCCGGGCCAGTGCTGCCCGGAGTGGGTGTGCGACCAGGCCGGGGCGCTGGGGGACCAGCCCCTCCTGGCCCAAGGTAAGTGCGGGGCTGCCCGGAGGGCGGGCCTCTGAGGGGCAGATGCCTGCAATCAGAGGGAAGGTTTTAGAGGCAGAGGCGGGGCGGGGGCAGGGGCGCTGGCTGAGGAGACATAGGAAAGCAGAGTGGAGAGGCACAGAGACCTCTTTAAAACTGACTAAACAAGAAACAGTGAGTGTGTCATTTTAAATCATAAATAAATAAGTCCAAATTGTGGCAGTGTGGAGAAGGAAAAGGAGGGTTGGAATACTTGAACCAAATTCTCACATTTCATAGCAAAGTATACTATTATAATATATACTACAGGCCCGGTGCATGAAATTTGTGCACGGGGTATGTGTGTGTGTGTGTCCCTCAGCCCAGCCTGCACCCTCTCCAATCTGAGACATCCCTCTTACAGTCCAGGACTGCTGGCTCCCAACTGCTTACCTGCCTGCCTGCCTGATTGCCCCTAACTGCTTCTGCTTGCCAGCTGATCACCCCCTAACCACTCCCCTGCCAACCTGATTGATGCCTAACTGCTTCCCTGCCAACCTGATTGCCCCCAACTGCCCTCCCCTGCTGGCCTATTCTCCTCTAACTATCCTTTCCTGCTGGCCTGGTCCCTCTCCCACCCCCCCAACCCCCACCCCCAATTGCCTTCCCTTGCCAGCCCGGTCACCCATAACTGCCTTCCCCTGTAGGCCTGATCACCCACAACTGCCCTCCCTTGCCGGCCATCTGTGTCCACATGGAGGCAGCCATCTTGTGTGTGGGTGTGATGGTCAATTTGCATATTACCTCTTTATTACATAGGATTTTTTTTATACCTAATTGATACATGTTAATAATATATTTATATAACAGACAAATATCCTATAACATATAACACTAATATAATACTGGTGGGCTTGTCAACAGAAACAATCCAAGCTAAACATAGCAGCATGGTTGCGCTGGACATGGGCCTAGGGGTGGGCAGGGCGGAGAAAAGAAGTTACCTTCTGCTATAAATTCTTTAGTTTTAGAGGCTTTGTTGTTGATATGTGTGGATTTGTAAAAATTAGTATGATGTGAATGTGATATTAAAAAAAAAAAAGGAAACTGAAAAGACAGCACTGACCCCCAGGCGATGCAGCCGCCGGGGAGCAGGGGGCGTGGGGGCTGAGCATGAAGCCGGCCCAGGTTCTAAGGCAGCGAGGCCACTGCTGAGCTGCGTGACTCTGAGGAAGCTGCTGAACCTCTCTGTGCCTCGGGTCCCCAGCTGTGAAGTAAGCGTCCACCTCACAGAGCTGCTGCGAGGACCGAGGAGTTCACACCGGTGAAAGCAGTCAGTTCAGGGCCTCGCACCCGGCACTCCCCTGGGGGCAGCTGTCATCCCGGCGGAACGTGACACAGCCGTTCAAATCCACAGAACTCCCGTATAAAAGCAGGATGGGACGCCATGTGTGCGATCTCTCTCCATTATGTGCAAGCATATGTGTCTGTCTGTGAGTATAGGTACATGCACACGACATACATGCTGCACACATGTGCACATACCAAACGGTTTCTCCACCGTGGCACCATGGCCGAGTGGCTCCCCGGTGAGGGGCTTCCATGCGCCTGGCAGGAAGTTTAGCAACATCCCTGTCTGCCCCTGGACCCCAAAGCAACCTCCCTCAATGGTGGCAACCACACACATCCCCAGACATGGCCAGGTGACCCCTGGAGGACACTGTTGCCCCTGGATATGGACCACTTGTAGACAGGGCCAGAAGGAAGGACACCGGAATATCAGCAGAGAAGAATCAAACGGGAGGAGGGAGACCCACACCCGGTGACCCCGCCATGGTGTTCCGGGCACGGCCTTGGGGTCACTACATCCCTGTTGCCTCACACAGGCTGTCACCGCCGTGTAAAATGGGGAGCCCACTGGTTCCTGGGGGAGGGCCATGGTCAGCACCACCAGTAACCTGATAACCACCCTGTATGAGGTGTTTACAGGTGCCAGGCACTATGCAAAGTGCTTCGCCTCCTCCGTTATTTTATTCAGACCTAACAGAGGTGAGAGAATTCACACAGGTTCAAGTACCAGCACTCCGCTGAGTACTTCACCTGCTCCATTCGATACTGCGATTAGGAAGTTGACACAGGAAGGAACTGAGCTCCAGAGAGGTGAAGCAACATGGCCCGGATTGCACCACAGCCCAGAGCGTCGATTTGGCTGCCAAGTCCTGACCCAGAGCTGACCCTTCCTTCTCCCCCCAGGACTCCAGGCTCCCGGCCTTGTGGCTCCCCCGCCGCCGCCACCACCACCGGGGTTCCCCTGCCCAGAATGGAGCACGGCCTGGAGCCCCTGCTCCACCACCTGCGGGCTCGGCGTGACCACCCGGGTGTCCAACCTGAACCGCTTCTGCAGGCTGGAGACGCAGCGCCGCCTGTGTCTGTCTGGGCCCTGCCCGCCCGCCAGGGGCCACAGCCCCCTCCTCGGGGCCTTTTAGCGCCGGGCCCAACGGGCAGTCTCAGCTACAGGCAACCACCCACCGCGGGTGCTCCATCCAGGCCCTGGAGGACATAGATGGGGGATGCATGCCTTAGTCCTGTTCCCTCTAACTCCCAGTCAGGGGCAGGGGGCGAGGGGTGGGGGCGGCTGACCAGTTTCTAGGGTCTTCTGGTCCATTCCCAGCCTGCATACAGCCTTTACCCAAGATGCACGTGGGCTAGCTTGTCAGGAGATGGGGCAGCCGTCTCTGCTTAACCATGGGCTCAGGCAGGTACTGGGCTGCGCTGGCCATTTTCCCGGGGTGTGGTGGCGAGGGGCACAGGTCTCCTGCGTCTCCCGCATCCTCTCCTGTGGGCATGCAAACACCTCCTGACCCTGTGCCAGTGCAGGACGCTGGGTGCCTGGCGCTGTCAGAAAGCCTTCCGCATCCCGGGCAGAATTCAGGGGCCGAACGCTTTGTGAAAATCGCACCATGAAATCATTTCTTAAACAAGCCAGAGAACAGGCCCACAAGCGCTCCCTGACTCAGCTTGCATCGGAGAGCATCCCCCCGCGCTGAGCCCCCGCACACGGCACCGAGCTAGGCACTTCGCACAGACCCGCGCTTTGCAATGTTTTGGACTCGAGCAGAGCAGGGGAGCGTGTCCTCCGGGGACTGGGGAACACGATCTGAAATAAACCGACCCACGTGTGAAGCTCTGTCCGAAGTCTCATGTCTGGTCGTGTGAAAAACCTTACCTATACGTTTATATCCTCCTCTGGGCCTACTGTGTTTGCTCGCAGGATTCAGCGAGGAAATTAGAAAACACACAGTCAGACTCACAGGCCTCACGTGTAGGATTGAGCGAGTCTTTATCATGCACACACCCGTGTGACACGCACCTCAATCCAGGCAGAAACCACTCCCACCACTTCCTGCCCCTTCCTGTTCACCCCTCCGCTCGCTTCCTGGAGGCTGACTGATTCCTGTCACCACAGATGAGTGTTGCCTGTTCTTGAACTTCACATAAATAGAATCGCACAGTAGGTATGTCTTTAATGGCTTCTTTTGCTCAGTACCAGCTCTGGGGCGGAGGGAGGGCAGAGCCCAGAAGCCAGGACCAGCTGGCAGAAGATGGAACCACAGTGGGCTGTCTGCCTGGTGTGGGAGCCTCTGAGCAGATGCGACCGTGTAGACCTTACAAAGAGCAGACGGAGATGGGGGTAGACCGGCTTCTGCTCTCTCCTGTCCCCCAGTTTCCGGTGGGGCCTCCCATTGGTCAACCCACTGGAAAGTGGAAGGGGAGGGAACCTGAGAATACAAGGCCCAAGACACAACACAGAGCAGGGGAGGGCGGGGAGGGCTTCAGAGCAGAGGTGAGTCCAGCCCACAAGAGAACAAATGACCCGCCCACTCAGATACCAACTCCTCCCACTGGGGATCAAACCCACATTCTGGGCTTGTGTCCTGGCCTGTAATCAAACCAGCAACCTGCCGAAACCGATTTGGCTCAGTGGATAGAGCATCCGGTTGCGGACTAAAAGGTCCCAGGTTCGATTCCGGTCAAGGGCATGTACATTGGTTGCAGGCACACCCCCAGTAGGGGGTATGCAGGAGGCAGCTGGTCGATGATTCTCTCTCATTGATATTTCTAGCTATCTATCCCTCTCCCTTCCTCTCTGTGAAAAATCAATAAAATATATATTTAAAAAAAATAAAATCAACCAGCAACCTTTTGGTGCACGGATGATGCTCTGCCAACTGAGCCACCCCAGCCAGGGCATAGAATATTATGTGATTGAAATAAAAATCTTAGTTATTATTATCTTGGCTTGACTTCTTGGTGCTTTTAGTTTCCCATCTGTAAAACGGGCATAAGTAAGAGAGCCCGCCCTACAGGATCACAGCAATGCTGTCACACAGGGGCTCTGTACATATTAGGTCATTCCTCTGTGTTTGCCTTACATATAAGCTGTCACCACCCCGCCTCCATGGTCCCCACCATGGTTCTTGCCAAGTCAGAGAGAGAAGTTTAAGCAAGGGCCGAGAATCTTGTCTGTGGAGAGGAGGAGGAGGAGGAGGTGATGATGAGGAGTGAAGGACCCAGGTGGAAATTGGGCTACCCCACTGGAACTCACAGCCAGAGGCACCCAGCTCGCCGTTCCCATTATATCTGTGCGCGGCATTCAGGGTGGTATAAGCTGTATCCATGTTGCTGCAAGTCACAATACTCTATTGTGTGAAAAGACCCACATTTCCTTTATTCATTCTCCTTCCCATGGGCATTTGGGTAGTTTCCAGTTTGGAACTGTTGTGACTAGGGCATTGTGAACATTCTAGCACATTGGCAAACATTCCTGTTGGGCATATACTCAGAAGTAAAACTGCTAGGTTGGGGCCTAGGTCAGGTTATGCCCCAGTATAACGGAAGTCTCTACACACAACAGGGACTTATTGCATAAATAGCAAAGTAAGAGCTAACACTTACTGAGCTCTAACCACATAGCAGGCTCTGTTCCAAGCATCTTCTATGCAGTGACGACTCACTTGACCCCACTCTAACCCTTTAAAGTAGGTAAAATAAGCCAATTTCATAGACAGAGACACCGAGGTACCGAGAAATTAAGGAAATAGCCCAAGAGCACACAGTTCAAAGTTGGCAAAGTCAGTATTCAAACCCAGAGCCCCAGCTCCAGAACCCGCTCTCGGGCCACCAGGCCACCCTGACCGAAGACACTACCGTGTTCGGGGTAAGGTGCCAGGCCTGGAGGAGAAACCGGGAGAGGGGGAGGGAGAACCGGAGGAGAGAGGAGCAGGGCCTGATCACCCCTGCGGGTCTTGTTTGAAGGATGGATATGAGGAGCAGGGAGATGAGAGCTAACAAGTCCCTGGGCTTCCTGCTGAGTGCGGGAGGGAGGGGCCACACACAGAAGCCAGGAAGAGCAAAGCTGAGCCCACAGGGGCAGACAGGAGAGGGCATTTGAGGTGTTTTAAGTTTGAAGGTGAAGTAGTCACCAGGGCAGGAGGAGGTTGGGTCAGGTCTGCCCTAACAGGTTTGGCTCAGTGGATGGAGCGTTGTCGGCCTGCGGACTGAAGGGTCCCGGGTTCGATTCTGGTGAAGGGCATGTGCCTTGGTTGCAGGCACTTCCTCTGTGGGGAAACATCGATGCTGGAGGCAGCTGATCAATGTTTCTCTCTCATCAATGTTTCTAACTCTCTATCCCTCTCCCTTCCTCTCTGTAAAAACAAAAAAATCAATAAAATGTGCTTTTAAAAAAATGGGTCAGGTCTGACACAGAGAGGAGATCAGGTGGAGAATCCGAGTCGTCTGCAGAAAGGGGAGGAGGAGGGAAGGAGGTTGGCAGAGCCAGTCTAGTGAGGGACATGGACAACCAGCATGTGTGTGTGTTGGTGTGTATAACCGGTCATCACCCGGCCCGATCCCAGGGCTCCGAGCCGCCATCAGCTCTGCCCAGACAGCCTCCTCCCGGGCTCCTGGCTTCCGCTCCGGCCCCTTACAGTGTAAGCCAGACGGACCCTGTGGAAGCCAAGCCAGACAACCCACCCCTTTCCCTCCGAGGAAGCGAAAGGCCTTCACACAACCTGCAAGCCCCACCCTCCCCAGTCAGCCCTCTGTCCGCGCCCTCGGGGGCTGTCCCTCCTGCTCATGCTGCTCAGACTCATGGCCTCCCTGCTGTTTCTCAAACACATCAGCCATGCACCCACCTCAGGACCTTTGCACAGGCTGTTCCCTCTGCCTGGCATCATCTTCCCCCAATATCGCCGATGCGTGCAGCACACACCACCTTTTAGTACATTACATAACCCACTTATAACATTTATTATTTGTTGCCAGATTACACAAGCACTGGGACGTTATCTGCTTTGTTCACTGATGCATCTCCGGGACCTAGAATAGTGCCTAGGAGGCTCGGTTGTTATTGAATGAGTGAGATAATACATCTTGCTTTTTAAAAGAGGACCTAATGGTGCATTAAAAAGTAAACATGTCGTTGACAAATGGGAGTGGCTGCCCACTTCACAGCGATCTCTCAGTGTCATGTCGGCGTGGGTCAGCGCTAACCCGGCCCCAATCATCAACCTCGGTGTTTCTGAGTGGGGTACCCAGGCCAGAAGTAGCAGCATCACCTGGCACCTGGTGAGAAATGCAAACATCTTGTGGCCCGTTCCAGGCTCACAGACTGCGGGGGTGGGGTTCATAAATGGGTGTTTTAATAAACCCTCCACCTCGTTAAAATCTAGGTCACCTTACACTGTGACTCCAGACAAGAATCCGAAGAAAACGGTGCTGTGCTGCTGCCCCCTGGTGGCATTCTGGTGCACGAACTTCGGAGAAGCGGCCAGCCTGGAGGAGCCTCACAGACTGGGTCCAGCTGCCTCCTGTTTCCCAGGTGGAGAAACTGAGTCTTGGTAAAGAGAGGCACGGTGCCCCAGGTCTCCGAGGGGGGCGGTGATAGATCTATTAGGTCTAGTAATAATTAATGTTAATGTCGTTTTCTAATACTTTTTTAAATCGAATTTATTTAAACAATACAACAAAATTTAATCAACAATATAGTTGCCGTTGTTTTCTACTACTTGTGCCCAACGCTCAGGAAGCATTTTAATCCCTCTGTTGTAAAATTCTTGTGATTTTGATGCAAAAAATTCGGTCAATGCAATTTTGAGGCATTCTTCATTATTAAATTTTTTTCCAAAAAGAAAGTTTTGCAAAGAACGAAACAAATGGTAATCGGAAGGGGCAATATCAGGAGAATATGCAGGTTGAGGGAGAACTTCCCATTCCAACTGGCGCAGTTTTTCAGCAGTGATTCTTGCAGTATGCGGTCGTGCTTTATCGTGGTGAAGAATTACGCCCTTCCGATTAATCAGCGCGGGTTCTTTTTCTCTTAAAGCTTGGGCTAACCTTTCCAATTGGGCACTATACACTGCACTTGTAATGGTTTGGTTAGATGGTAAAAGTTCATAATGAAGAATTCCTTTAAAATTCCACCAAACACACAACATCACTTTTTTCACATGCAAGTCAGGTTTTGGCGTGGGCTGCGGAGCCTCATTTTTGTCCAACCATTGAGGCTGCCTTTTCAAATTAACATACAGCACCCATTCTTCATCTCCGGTAACAATTTGCTCTAAAAACGGCAAACGGTTTTGACGAGAGAGGAGCAAACTGCATCTTGACCAAGAGCACTACAGATGTTTTTTGCAGCCTCACTTGCTTTTCTTCCTAATTGGAACTCGTAAAGCATGCAGTGCCGAATATGCTCTTCATCCGCCATCTTCTTAGCCCTAGTTTTGCAACAAAAACCAAACCAAACACAAACTTTTTCAAGCAAAACTTGTTAATTGCACTTCACACGTTCTGTAGATACCACGTGTTTGAAGGTTATGTCAATACAAGTCAACGCCAAGCAAGATTTTAAACGAATGTTGGAAAACGACATTAATTATTACTAGACCCGATAGGTGTAGGATTCTTTCCTATTTGTGACCAATGCAGAAGTTTCCTTTTCTCAAAATATTTAAACAGACGCCGGAAGGGCCCCTGCAGGGCCCTGACCCAGGGCGCCTCCATCTGTCCCCTGGCTGACTCCCTGGTCCCTCTGCCCACAGTCCAGCTCTCTCCTCCCATCGGCCCTGCCGCCCAGCCAGAAAGATCTTTCTAGAGCACAATTATGGTTATGTCACTCTGCCTGAACCCCGCTG